CTGTTGTGGAAAGCCTGTGCTCTCTGAGGTGGATCTGCATTAGGCTCTGCACTCCGGGTCAGGTGTTTGCTCTCTTTTCAGTCCCCTGCAGATCCATCCATGGTTCTTTGAGCTCGAAGAGCAAGTGGGAGGCCCTTTGGGTGCAGGTTTACTGCCTGGGATGTGAGCCTGGCTATCCTCACAGCCCTGTGGTGCACACAAGAGTGTCACACAGAGCCAGTGCAGAGGGAAACTGTGGCTTCTGGTGCTGGTGGGTGGCAGCACTCGGGGAAGAAGGAAAGAGCAGCTCGGCCTGCGGGCACGCCTGCTCCCTGCTGTCCTGCGGGCTGAAGTGCTGTGTGGAGCAGCTTCTGTAACCACAGATGCTTCAACGCTTCACTTCTGAGTTTTTGAAGCAGCAGATGAAAAATATTGGAGTTGGAAGAGAAAAAACAAATTACAGCTGCTTTGTCTTCAACTAGAAAAATCCTTAGTGTATTCATCAGGTGGCCCTCGTACGTGAGTTTTGTGTTCATGGAGACAGCTGATCTTCCAACACCCACACTTACTGCTGCTAATGGAAGAGTTCCCCCCGCTCTAAGAGGAAGCACTTACTGTGGGGAAACCTGCGGCAGAGACAGACCAGTTATGAGGGGCTCTAATGATGAACCAAATACGAGCAGCTCTAATGAGAAGAGCTCCTGCTGCTGTTCAAGTGGAGAAATACAGAAGCATCTCACGGTTGCATTTTCACTGGGATCGAAGTCAAATCAAGCAAGAAAACCAATTCCTCGGTTGTTTTGTGCGCAGGTGGATTTTTCTTGTTTCTAAAGGTGATTGCTCTCTTTGATCTGCACTGTTCCTGCAGGATCCTTTGAGTTCTGCTGTCTTAGGACTGGTTTCTCTTATCTGGCACCTAAAGTGTTTCAGTGCTTCTCCTTTCCTGCCTGCGAGGAAGGATGCTCTGGGGGGGTGGGACAAGAAGGGGAACTGAAAGTCTGGAAACTGGTCAGATTTGGAGTCTGAAGTGGAAGAGCTGCTAAACTTCCCTTAAACCTCAGGAGCTTTGCATCGCTGCACTCATGGTAGTTTTACACTGGTGTAACTCGACCCAGGGCAGGAGTCTGCAGGGAAAAGCATGGTACTGAGCACTAATCTACTAGAATGGATGTTGGTTGATAATTTGGAGGCAGGACATCAGATTCATTTGTCAAGGAGATGACAGCAGAGTAGCCTGTCAGTGAATTAAGGAAACAAGAAAAAAAACACACCCACACTGCAATATAGTGACAAAAAAAGGCTAGAATTGATTATATTTGCATTCTGACAGGTCCTGACAGTAAGAGGACTTTGCCAAGCTTGTCAAAGACTCTAAATAATGACTTTCTAACCCCGTGCTCAAAAAAGGATTTGTTTCCAGTGAGCATTTTTAAGGTTTCATGTGCTGATTACAAAACAGTTCTCTCCTGTGAGTTTCCCGAATGCAATGGGAGAATCACTTCCTGCGTGTCGCTGTCAGTAAGCTGGTTATTGCCAACAGGAAATATTTCCAACATGTGGACCATGTTAGACAAGATGGTTTACCCAAGCAGGTATGTACTCAGCATCTTTACACCCCATGCCTTGGCTCTCAGCGTTTCCTGCT